TAATATTGATTTGCTAAGGATCTGAGGAACATTTACCAAAAAAAAAAATAAATAAAATCTAGGGTGATGAGTTCAGGTCTTTGAAGGCATTCCATTGTACTCTCTCTCAAATACGTCTTTGAGGACTTTAAAAATTCAGAACTCTCAATTTCACACCATGTGATTGATGTTTAGTTTTATATGGCAACTTGACTGGGCCACAAGGTTCCCAGATATTTGGTCAAACATTATTCTGAGTGTGTCAATGGAGGAGTTTCTGGGTGACATTAACATTTAAGCAGGTAGACTGAATAAAGCAGATTGCCCTCTCTAATGTGAGTAGGCCTCATTCAATCAGTAGACGGTCTAAATATTAAATAGAACAAAAAGGTTGACCCTCCCCCAGGTAAGAGAGAATTCCTCCTGCTTGTCTTTGAACTGTCACATTTTATTTTTTATATGTTTGTTTTTATTTTATTGAGATGAAGTCTCACTCTGTCACCCAGGCTGAGCCTCACCCAGGCTGAGACCCAGGAGTGCAAAGGCATGATTTTGGCTCACTGCAACCTCCATCTCCTGGGTTCAGGCAATTCTCCTGCCTCAGCCTCTCTGAGTAGCTGGGATTACAGGCGCCAGTCACCATGCTCGGCTAATTTTTGTATTTTTAGTAGAGACAGGATTTCACCATGTTGGCCAGGCTGATCTTGAACTCCTGACTTCAAGTGATCTGCCCGCCTTGGCCTCCCAAAGTGCTGAGATTACAGGTGTGAGCCACTGCACCTGGCCATGTTTATTTTTGAGACAGAGTCTTGCTCTATCTCCAGGCTGGAGTACAGTGGCACAATTACAGCTCACTGCAGTCTTGGCCTCCCAGCAACACACTACCTTCCATCCATGTCTCTTAAACGTTCTGCTTTCCTTGGCTATTCTTCTCATTGTGTTCACTGTCTTCTATACAATTCGACAACAGTCATTGTGTTTTTCTCAATAAAAGTGAATTGTTATGTAACTCATAGGGTAGACTTTTTCTCTCTCACTGAGAGATAGCCATTGCTCGCAGAGTAATTCTTCTGACTCCCAGTGGCCCATGGTGAGGGTTCCATGTAACCAGAGAGGAAATAGAGAGCTGTGTCTCTGCCTCTTACGGACACTGCCTCTCAGACCTTTGGCTAAAGCACCCGTGCATGGTACTGCCTGAAGAGTGAAGCCAAAGCTTGCCTCAAGTGAGCCTCTCATCTCAGCCTCCTGAGTAGCTGGGACCACAGGCCCATGGCATCATACTCGGTTAATTTTTCATTTTTTATAGAGACGGGGGTCTCACTATGTTGCCCAGGCTGGTCTCGAACTCCTGGGCTCAGGCAATTCTCCTGCCTCAAGCTCTCAAAGTGCTGGGATTACAGACGTGAGCCACTACACTCATCCTGAACTGTCACATTTTACAGATTAAAAACAAGTCACAGGTTGGGCACGGTGGCTCACGCCTGTAATCCCAGCACTTTGGGAGGCTGAGGCGGGTGGATCACCTGAGGTCAGGAGTTTGAGACCAGCCTGACCAACATGGAGAAACCCCATCTCTGCTAAAAATACAAAAATTAGCTGGGTGTGGTGGCAGGTGCCTGTAATCCCAGCTACTCGGGAGGCTGAGGCAGGAGAATCTCTTGAACCCAGGAGGCAGAGGTTGCAGTGAGCCAAAATTGTGCCATTGCACTCCAGCCTGGGTGATAAGAGCAAAACTCTCTCTTAAAAAACAAACAAACAAGGCCGAGACTGGCGGATCACGAGGTCAGGAGATCGAAACCATCCTGGCTAACACGGTGAAACCCCGTCTCTACTAAAAATACATTTAAAAAAATGAGCCGGGCGTGGTGGCGGGCGCCTGTAGTCCCAGCTACACGGCAGGCTGAGGCAGGAGAATGGTGTGAACCCAGGAAGCGGAGCTTGCAGTGAGTGGAGATCGCGCCACTGCACTCCAGCCTGGGTGACAAAGCAAGACTCTGTCTGAAAACAACAACAACAACAACAACAACAACAAACAAACAAAAAATCCAAGTCACAGGGATAGTCCAGATTTAAGTATAGTCATGTGCCGTATAACACTGTTTCAGTCAATGATGGACCGCCTATATGACAGTCCCATAAGATTATAGTAACATGTTTTTCCTGCATCTTTTCAATGTTTAGATCCAGAAATACTTGTGGGGCATGGTAGCATGTGTCTGTAGTCCCAGCTGCTCTGGAGGCTGAGGCAGGAGGATCACCTGAGCCCAGGAGCTCAATGTTGCAGTGAGCTGTGATGGAGTCACTGCACTCCAACCTGGGCAACAGAATGAGACCCCCGTCGCAGGAAAAAAAAAAAAGGAATTTATTTCATCTTTTTTGAGAAAAACCAAAGCCATCTGAAAATATCTGGGAAACAGGTGATTTTTGAGGAGGAGATCATTAGGTGAACCTAAACTTTCAGAACAAAGAACAATTTGGTGATAAGGTCTAAAGGGAGCATATGCAGACAGTGTATCCAATACATACGCAAATAAACAGAGAGTGAAATTTTTTAAAATCACAATACTTTTCTATCGTATATTGGCCTCATTTGACATGTGCAACATCTCCATACAGTGATAGTAATGGTCTTATTTTATAGATGAGAAACGTGAGGCTTAGAGGCTTCAGAAATTTTAGAATCCAAGACTCCATACCACGGCAACACACCACCTTTCATCCATGTCTCTTACGCATCCTGCTTTCCTTGGCTATTCTCATTGTGTTCACTATCTTCTATACAGTTCCAAGCCAACAGTCATTGTGCTTTTCTCAATGAAAGTGAATTGTTATATAACCCATAGGGTAGACTTTTTCTCTCCATCTCTCTGAGAGATACCCATTGCTTGCAGAGTGATTCTTCTGGCCCCCAGTGGCCCATAGTGAGGGTTCTATGTAACCAGAGAGGACATAGAGAGCTGTGTCTCTCCTCTTACGGACACTGCCTCTCAGACCTTTGGCTAAAGCACCCATGCATGGTACTGCCTGAAGAGTGAAGCCAAAGCTTGCAAACAAAACCAAAGACATGCAAGCAATCATTGGTAAGGAGGGTATGTTTTTTAATTTGAATCTGAAGGCCTTTAGGTGATACACACTTGACTGCCTCTGACATTTGAAATACTTCTGTGGCCCCTGAAGGCATCTGAATTTGCAGCTCCAGAAGCAGGTCTTTACCTCTAGCGCTCTGGGTTTACTCCCAGGCTGCAAAGAACAGAGGGAGTAGGGAGATGAGGGGAAGAATCAAACAGTGCACCCCTCATCTTGCTGTTCAATTCTCTTAAACTTCACTGTGGCTAGGATTCCATGTGTCACTTCCTGGGTGAAGGGAACAGCCTTATGAGGACAATCGCCAGCTTTCGGAGGGAGCTCTGCCTGCATCTCTCTTGTTTCCTGTCTCCTCTCTCTCTCTCTCTCTCTGTTTTTAACCCTTTCCCCTTCACTGTTCCATTCCCTAATTTTTTCCCAGGACTTTCACCCTTCCCTAAAGAAATCATCAAGTAAATTCAATTCCACAATCCCAGGCATGGAATGCCAATAGCAATAACAATAGTTAACATGGATGGGGTTTATACTACATGCCAGGGGCTATGTGCTCAAGGCTTTAGCATGTTATATGGTGCTCAAGGGAATTATTATTATTATTATTATTATTATTATTATTATTTTGAGATGGAGTCTTGCTCTGTTGCCCAGGCTGGAGTGCAGTGGCACGATCTCGGCTCACTGCAACCTCCACCTCCCGGATTCAAGCAATTCTCCTGCCTCAGGCTCTCGAGTAGCTAGGACTACAGGCACGTGCCACCAAGCCTGGCTAATTTTTTGTATTTTTAGTAGAGATGGGATTTCACCATGTTAGCCAGGATGGTCTCGATCTTCTGACCTTGTGATCCGCCCGCCTCTGCCTCTGAGTGCTGGGATTACAGGTGTAAGCCACCATGCCTGACTGGGAATTATTAATTCTATTTTATGTTTGAAGAAGCTGAAGCTCCAGATAAAAAGAATGACATTCCTGCTGCCATAAGGCTGTAAGATTCTGATCCAGACCTCCTGTCTGGGCTTTCAGCCACCATATCACCTCTTCTTTCTCCCCTAGCCATCCAGAGCCATCATCTGCTCTGAAGAAGAGAGAGCTGGGGTCTGACTCAGGCTGCGAAGGCCTGCCCCAGGGAAGGAAGGATTAGGGATGGGGAGAAGCAGAGGAGAGAGGAGGTGAGAGTCGTTCTCCCAGGGTGCAACTCCCCCACCTACCCTCCCCTAACACGTCCTCTGCAGAACCAAACACATCCTGCAACACAAAGACTCATGTCCTTCTAAAACTTCATCTGGGGGTAGAATACGAATAGAAATTAATATTCTTCCCATTAACATAACTTTGACTTTATTTCTTACAAATGAATATCCTCATCTTATTAGGCCTAGAAAGCATTGCCCTGACTTTTTCCTAGATCACATCATGAAGTATCCCATAACACGAAGCCCAAATCATCTTTCCCGAGAGGGGAGATGGGGAAAGAAAGGGAGAATGGAGAAAAGAGTCTCTGTTTCCTTTCATAGTATAAATGTATGATACATTTTGATTAAACGTTGATGACTTTTTAATATTGTCTTTAGAACTCTACATGAAATAGGGAAAATAGCCCCCAGAAAATGAATCCTGATGTACAGTCCTAGGAATCCAGGAATACCCAGAGATATCAAATGTATGGGGATGGGTCAGGCGCAGTGGCTCATGTCTGTAATCACAGCACTTTGGGAGGCCGAGGCAGGCAGATCACTTGAGGTCGGGAGTTCGAGACCAGTCTGGCCAACATGGTGAAACTCTGTTTCTACTAAAAATACAAAAATTAGCTGGGCATGGTGGCGTGCTCCTGTAGTCCCAGCTACTTGGTAGGCTGAGGCAGGAGAATTGCTTTAACCTGGGAGGTGGAGGTTGCAGTGAGCTGAGATTGTGCCACTGCACTCCAGCCAGGGTGACAGAGCAAGACTTCGTCTCAAAACAAACAAATGAAAACAGCAACAAATGTATGGGGATGGATGGCTCCATCTACAAGAGGCTAACTTCTGTTCATGGAGACAGGGCCTGTGGAAGCCTGCAAAGTGACCCAGCCTCCCGCTCCCTGGAAATCATCCATGCGATGGTAACCACAGTGGCTTACAAAAGTTAAATAAAATAATAAGAAAAATAAGCAAGGCAAACATGCATTCATACATTTATAATGTATTCAGGGCAAAAAAATCCATTCAAAGCTAATTGCTAAGCAAATTAACAGACTAACTGAATTGTCTGGAAATGGTTGTTTAGTTATGGGTAACATAATGCAGTGTGTTAAATACAAACTATTGCTGACCCTAGAGGAACTTTTATTTAAGAAGGGGGAGAAATTATGCCTTAAAGCACTCATTTTGTGAGTGCTCTGCCGTCTGTTTGGGTGAAAGACTATATAAAGGCCAGTAATTACCATTATCACTAATTATCTGTCACTAGAAATCTTTTTCAGTTTACCATTAGCATTAAATTTAAAGCAAGAAGCAGACTTATCAAATCCTAGAGTAGATTTGTATTCTCTATAGAGACATGCAGTTTACAAAACACTTTGATATTCTAATGTGGACTTTAAGGCCCAACATATAGTATGCAAGTCAGCTGTACCTCTGTACATGAAACTGCCTGTCCAGTCTTCAGAACCATAGGGCTATATAATCTGGATTCTGTTAGGTTCTAGGTAAATGGCCAATTACCAGACAGACTCTGGTAACTGTTAGAGGATTAACAGATATTTCTAAAGGAGACTCTGCCCCTGGCATGGAGGTCACAGTCCTTCACAACTCTTAAGATTCAGTGATTCTGGGCCATGAAAGAAAAAGATTATATGTGTTTAACAGATGAATAAAACACTCATTCACTTACCTTATACCATTCACACAAATGCTTAAAACAGTAGTGGGCCCATAGAAGAAACCTTATAAATGCTGCTGCTGCTGTTGTTGTTGTCATTGTTATCTGTATTTGTTGTGTAATGGCTATTGGCTTCTTGGCTTGGATTTTTAATTAGGTCATTTGTAGAGATCTACTAGCTTTATTTTAAAAGTGTTGAAATAACAGATAATCTATTTTTTTTTTTTTTTACTAACTTACTAAGTAGACTCTTAATCTAAGTAGACTTCTTTCTACATTATTTCAATTTGTGGATTGATTTCTCTTTCAATGCACTGTAAAATGAAATTAACCTGCTACTTGACTCGATCCTAGGGTTTACCCAGGAACCAAATAATATTTTCCAGAAAAACTTGGCAGCTTCCCTCCATGGTGTATCCTCAGACATTAGAGACACCCTAAAAAATCTAAATGCCTCAGTCTGGCATTTAAAATGCCCTTGACAATCTGATACTAGAATGTATCTCCAGCCTCATTACCTTATTGTCCTCTATGTATATCTTGGGCTACAATAAATCCAGACTATGTAATGATCCTTGAACATCAGTCTAATTAATCTAGAAAATTTACTGAATATGTATATATAAAAAATATCTTTGCTTTGTGCTTTTGTTGGTGCCATTTCCTCTTACAGAAGTTAATTTCTTCCACATTTTACCCACCCACTAAGGCTGTGGTAGATATGTCTTAAGAAATGTATCTGCCCAAACTCCCTTCCCTGATAAATGCCATCCTTCACCTCAGTCCACTAGAGCTGCTAAAGGAATGGGCAGAGGTGACCATGTGTTGATCATGTGCTCCCTCTCCTACTTTCAGCTGAATTAATCATGTTGGGTGCATAGCTGACCCAAATTCAACCAATCAGATTCTTCTCCTGGGAATCTGGAGAATAACAGAGTCAGTTCAACATAGAAAGCTTTGTGAAAGCTCATCTAGGGTCTGTTCACAGGTCAACACTATGTCAAACCAAAGTCATGGGCAAGACAAAGCTATGGATGATCAGAGACCAAGAGTAAGCAAAGAAAGTCAGTTTGCCAAACAGAAGAGAGCATACTTGCAAAATGATGCATAGAAGAAGGATCATGCAGCCACGTAAAGAAAAAGGAATGATGATCCTCAGCAGCTCTTCAAGTTGCAGCTCCATTCCCAGCTGTGTCTCATTTACGTGAGTGCGCTATATCCTAAAAATAAATCTTTCAGTTGGAATTAATTTGAATGGATTTCCATCCCTTACAACCATTGAATTTTGCTTTTAAAAAAACACCCCTGCTCAGATGACAATTCTTCCATTACACTTTTCTGAATCGTCCCAGCTCAGATGATTCTTGCCTTGCTCTGCTATCTTGTCATGACCTGTCTGCTTTCCTGTTCTCACTGCCTCCCCACCTAGCGGCTTAACCCCCCATCCTAAGCCCTGGGATAGATGTTCTACCCTCCAAGGACTAGGAGAAGGCCTAGTTCAATCGCCTAGAACTACTCTGATCAAAGTTAAAACAGATAGATTAGTTTGTTACTATGACAAAACTCCCACCTCTACCTTATCTTACTTTGATAATTTGGTATGTGAGATCCTCCTAAATTGATCCTACCTTGACCTGACCAGTTATTTTCTGAAACCCCAGTTCTAAGGCCAGGGACTCTGGTGGGCCTCCCTAACCTCGTGAAGCTGCTGGTGTTAGAGCAGTGGTTCTCAACCTGGAGCGATTCTGCCCCCAGAGCGCATTTCCACAAAGGTTTTTTGTCTGTTTGTTTTTTTTATTATTATACTTTAAGTTCTAGGGTACGTGTGCATAATGTGCAGGTTTGTTACATATGTATACATGTGCCATATTGGTGTGCTGCACCCATTAACTCGTCATTTACATGAGGTATATCTCCTAATGCTATCCCTCCCCCCTCCCCCGACCCCACGACAGGCCCCGGTGTGTGATGTTCCGCTTCCTGTGTCCAAGTGATCTCATTGTTCAATTCCCACCTATGAGTGAGAACATGTGGTGTTTGGTTTTCTGTCCTTGCGACAGTTTGCTGAGAATGATGGTTTCTAGCTTCATCCATGTCCCTACAAAGGACATGAACTCATCCTTTTTTATGGCTGCATAGTATTCCATGGTATATATGTGCCACATTTTCTTAATCCAGCCTGTCATTGATGGACATTTGGGTTGGTTCCAAATCTTTGCTATTGTGAATAGTGCCGCGATAAACATGCGTGTGCATGTGTCTTTATAGCAGCATGATTTATAATCCTTTGGGTATATACCCAGTAATGGGATGGCTGGGTCAAATGGTATTTCTAGTTCTAGATCCTTGAGGAATCACCACACTGTCTTCCACAATGGTTGAACTAATCCACAAAGTTTTTTATCACAACCTGAAGGGAAGGGGTGCTACCAACATCTAGTGGGTAGAGACCAGGGATGCTGGTAAACATCATACAATGCACAGGGCAGCCCCAACAACAGAGAATTATCCAGCCCCAAAAGTCAATAATGCTGAAGTTGAGAAGCCCCACTTTAAAGTACTGGGCAAATGACTTTGAGCAAGTGATTTAACAATTTTACGTTTCAGAATCTCCCTCCATAAAAATACAGATATATTTCCTGTGAAAATATCATAGGACTGAACACAGTGCCTTTGGAGCTTTAAGTATTCTGTCAGAATTATTTTTGCACAATGAAAATAAGCATGTTAAATGTTTATGCTTATTAATAATCCTTTCCTTATTCTAGCTATACAGTGAGGTTGGAAAAACTCTTGGCAAAGATTAATTCCATGTTTACTAATCCAACCTTTCAGAATTCTAAAGTCTTTGATCATATGCTCCTCTTGATTTTTTAAAATAACACTTTTAAAATAAATTATTTTTACTGGGGTAGAATATACATAATATTAAATGTACTATGTTAATGATTTTTAAGTATACAGTTCAGTGGTATTAAGTATATTTATATTGTTGAGTAAACATCACTCCCATCCATCTCCAGAACTCTTTTCATCTTACAAAACTGAAACCCTATACCCATTAAAGAGCGATCCCCCAGTTCCCCACGTCCTAATCCCTGGCAACCACTATTCTACTCTCTGTCACTGTGATCTTGACTATGCTAAGTGCCTCATATAAATGGAATCATACAGTATTAGTTTTTCTTCGATTGGCTTATTTCCTTTTGTAAAAATTTTTAAATTTTTGTTTTAGATGGAGTTTCACTCTAGCCCAAGCTAGAGTGCAACAGCATGATCTCAGCTCACTGCAACCTCTGCCTCATGGGTTCAAGTGATTCTCTTGCCTCAGCCTCCCTAGTAGCTGGGATTACAGGCAGCTGCCACCACGTCCTGCTAATTTTTGTATTTTTTGCAGAGACGGGGTTTCACCATGATGACCAGGCTTGTCTCAAACTCCTGACCTCAGGTGATCTGCCCACCTCGGCCTCCCAAAGTGTTGGGATTACAGGCATGAGCCACTGCACCCGGCCTTCTTTCCTTTGCCATAATGTTCTCAAGGTTCATCTGTGTTGCAGCATGTGTCAGGAGTTCATTCCTTTTTGCAGCTAAATAATACTCCACAAATAAGTAAGTATGTAGATTTTGCTTATTCACTGATCCACAATGGACATTTAGGGTGTATCTACATTTTAGTTATTGTGAATAATGCTTCTGTGAACATGGGTGTACGAATATCTCTTCAAGATCCTGCTTTCAATTTCTTTTGGTACATACCCATAAGTGGAATTGCTGGATCATACAGTAATTCCATTTTTAGTTTCTTAAGAAACTGCCATAGTATTTTTTACAATGGCTCTACCATTTTACAATTCCACCAACAGTGCACGAGGGTTCCAATTTGTACACATCCTTTCCAACAGTTGTTATTTTCTGTTTCATTTGTTATTTGTTTTTTATGGTAGCTGTCCTAATAGGTATAAGGTAGTATCTCGCTGTGGTTTTAATTTGCATTTTCCTGAAGATTAATGTTGAGCATCTTTTCATATGCTTATTGGCCATTTGTATGTCTTTTTTGGAGAACTGTCTATTCAAGTCCTTTGCCCATTTTTGAATTGGGTTGTTTAGTTTTCGTTGTTGTTGAGTTTTAGAAGTTCCCCATATAGTCTAGATATTAATCTTTGATCAGATACATGATTTGCAAGCATTTTCTCTATTCCGTGGGTTACCTTTTACTCTGTTTAGTGTCTTTTGATGCACAAAATGTTTACATTTTCATCAAGTCCAGTTTGTCTATTTTTCCTTTTGTTGCCTGTGCTTTTGGTGTTATATACAATAAATCATCACCAAATTGAATGTTGTGAAGATCTTGTCCAACGTTTTCTTGTAAGAGTTTTATAGTTCATTCATATTCTCCTCTCAATTTATTTTTAGAGCTTTATTTTTCCAGATAAAGTCTTTAGCCTGGCTGGGCACGGTGGCTCACGCCTGTATTCCCAGCACTTTGGGAGGCCGAGACAGGCGAATCACGAGGTCAAGAGATAGAGACCATCCTGGCCAAGATGGTGAAACCCTGTCTCTACTAAAAATACAAAAATTAGCTGGACGTGGTGGCGCATGCCTGTAGTCCCAGCTACTTGGAAGACTGAGGCAGGAGAATCGTTTGAATCTGGGAGCTGGAGGTTGCAGTGAGCTGAAATTGTGCCACTGCACTCCAGCCTGGTGACAGAGTGAGACTCCGTCTCAAAAAGGGGGAAAAAAAAAAGAAGTCTTCAGCCTAAACATGTGCTGGGTGCTGGGTAAAATACACACAGATAAATTACCCATTGACAAAACCCAAAGGTAGTTAGTGTGTGCACACACACACACATTTTAGAGTATCACTTGCCACTAGAAATAGAAAAAGCTTTTAACAGCAATACAGAAATAATGCTTCTATGAACATGAGTGTACAAATCTCTCTCTCTATATATATTCTCTCTATAAAATATATATGTATATATGTATATATCTATACACATACACACACACACACGATAGAATAGGCTAAACTGCTAAGCAAACAGAAAAATATATATAGCAGTTCAAACCAGAAAAGTTGATTTCTTGCTTAACATCTAAAATAAATATATATATATATTTTTGAGATGGAGTCTCACTCTGTTCCCCAGGCTGAGTGCAGTGCAGTGGCGCAATTTTGGCTCACTGCAGGCTCCACCTCCGGGGTTCACGCCATTCTCTTGCCTCAGCCTTCCGAGTAGCTGGGACTACAGGTGCCCGCCACCACGTCCGACTAAGTTTTTGTATTTTTAGTAGAGTCGGGGTTTCACAGTGTTAGCCAGGATGGTCTCGATCTCCTGACCTTGTGATCCGCCCTCCTCGGCCTCCCAAAGTGCTGGGATTACAGGCATAAGCCACCGCGCCCAGCTCATATCTGCTTCTTTTTTTTTTTTTTTTTTTTTTTGAGACGCAGTCTTGCTCTGTCACCCAGGCTGGAGTGCAGTGCAGTGGCGCAATTTTGGCTCACTGCAGGCTCCACCTCCGGGGTTCACGCCATTCTCTTGCCTCAGCCTCCCGAGTAGCTGGGACTACAGGCACCCGCCACCATGTGCGGCTAATTTTGTATTTTTTAGTAGAGTCGGGGTTTCACAGTGTTAGCCAGGATGGTCTCGATCTCCTGACCTCGTGATCCGCCCGTCTCGGCCTCCCAAAGTGCTGGGATTACAGGCTTGAGCCACCGCGCCCGGCCTCATATCTGCTTCTTAATCACCTTCTTTTTGGAAGTGACACACATAGCTTCTACTCTTAGGTCTGGTAATAACTAGTCACGTGGTCATTCCTAGATGCAAGACAGCCGGGAAATGTAGCCCCTGCTAGCGCAGCTGCCTTCCAGTAACTGTTCTATGTCTGCACTCTCCAACAGGGTAGCTATTATGTGGTTATCGGGCATTTGGAATTCGGTCGTCCAAACTGAGATGCACTGTAAGTGTAAAACGCACACCAGAATTTAATGACTTAGTATAAAAATAAGAATGTAAACATCTCAATAATTTTTATATTGATTACATATTGAATAGCAATATTATATATAGGGTTAAATATATTACTAAAATTGATTTCACTTGTTTTTAAAATATTCTTAATGTAGCTATTAGAAAATTTTAAATTACACATGTGGCTTGCATTCTATTTCTGTTGGATACTGTTATAGAAATTAGCTTTCTCTGTTACACAGATTATCTTATAGAATCAGGATAGAATATACATCTGGGCCACTCACAGAACTACAATGAGGAATTGGAAAGATCTCTGAAATCAAAATGTGTACTCTCTCTTTCTCCTTTTTCCTCCCTCTCTCACTGGAGCCACGTGGTTACTGGTCTTTGGCTACCTGCTGGCTTTGCCCTTTTTTCCTCTCTCTGCCTCTACGTGTGTCTCCCTCTCTTCCTCTGTCTCTTTCATCTCTGTTCCAAGCCACTGTGTCCAGGAGGACGGGGTCATGTGGCTTGCTGTGCATTCACCAAAAGTAATGGTAACAGGTTCTCAGGAAGAGGGCACAGCTAGGTCAGACAAATTGACTGACATGTTTGCTTAGCATATAAAATGTGTAAACACGATATGGGCTTGGCAGCTGTCAACATTCCCCAGTTTTTACACTTAACAGACTATATTTGCTTTGAGGCCTTTTGTAAGTACTCTGTTGAATAGGTGACAAATTTAATCTCAGAGTGTATTATTTAATTCATGTCATCACTAAAGAAAACATGAAACTAATCTTTCTTTCTGGGGCTTGTACCAGTGCCCAGAAATAGTCAGCATCACTGATAAGCCTCAAATTTCCAACAGTGTACCTTGAACTCAATGCCTATTCATATAATAACAGACTTTGCCCGTAAGACCAGGCTCACCATATGCATCAATTATATGAAGCCATCAAGTTAATAAATGGGTGACCTACCCCCAGATAGAACTTTCTTATAGGTCTGGAACTGTCCAATTTAGTTCCTGAGGGTGTTTTGGGCTGGTCTCAATAAATGGATGACCTTCCATAAATGAGTTGATGAAGAGCAAAGAGACATAATTCAATCAATTATTATTGGATTACTTTATAACCACATCATTTTCTGTAATTTAAGAAATGTATCCAAGTGGCCCCTGTTAGAACATATACATGTGACCTAGAGATATTATTAGATTACCAGATGCTTTTATATCTTCAGCAAGTATTTTTGTGCCAGACATTATCCTAAATCCATTCTCATCATTAACAATTTATCAGAAATAGATTTTTTGAATATTATCTTTCCCGAGGAAAAAAATGGGGCCCATAAAAAATGGAATAAAGAGTAGCAACTTTTGTTGAAAGATAGGATTTGGTTCACTTTAGAATATACCCATGAAAAATAAGCTTTAGTAGGATGCTGCAGAGGAACCCCAAATAGATCGGATGTGGACTAGGACCCTGGGCACTTGGGAGGGAAGGGAGGTAGGAGATAGTGCAGAAAGAGAAGGCAGTGGTGGCCCCCAAAACACTTTCTGCCTACTTTATCATTATGATGGAACTTGAGCTTTGACAATGATACCTTCTTTGCTGCTCCATTTCACAGCTCAGCTTTGGGGCTATGGTCTTCAAAGTCGGTAGGAATATTCTAAGTTCCTGAGGGTCTTTTGGGCTGGTCTCAACAAATGGATGACTTTCCATAAATGAGCTGATGAAGAGCAAAGAGATATAATTCAATCAATTATTATTGGATTATTTTATAACCACATATATGCACTAAAAGACTATTTAAAACATTTAAAAACATTAAAACACTTCTTAACCTCCATAAATCTGTAATACAATTTGAACTTATTTTTTAAACTTGGGTTTAGCATTTAGCTGAATTTCATTAATTTCTCCTCCCTAATAGCCTGAATATTCTGTTTAAGATAACAACATTTGGTTCATATTATCTATAGCAATATATATTTCTTTCATATATATTAATATATTTTTTCAGGCTGGTATTCAGCAGGAAGGAAAATGGCTAGGAAAACTCAATAAAAATAGTGTCACAGTGTATATGGATTAAATTGATAGGAAATTTTATTCTACCTTTTACTTAGAAAGAATTTTTAGGTCAATAAGACATCAAAAGCTTTTTAAAAGTTGACTAATGGATTAAAAGAAAGTTTATAGGTTTTTACAACTCTTTGTGGTTCATAGCAAAAATTAAACACCATTTAGTAGAGTTCAAATTTAAGATGTTTAAGGTGGAAAAAAAAAAAAGAAACAAAAAAAAAAATTTAACTAAAATTTTCATTGCAAAAAATTATGATTAATGCAGAAAATTAATGCAGAAAATTATGACTAATTTTATTTTGGCCTAAACACTGATAAAATATTTACAGAAAAATTATAACTTTCTTAACTTTTAACAATATTCACATATACATTGTGTTAAGATATCCTTAGGCGAAAAAAGAATACCTATATGAGCAACTGCAAAAATGAAAGGAGGGTTTGGAGAAACTTCTTTAGCCAATTTCCTTAATATAAGGACTTGGATAATATGTAAAAGTGACTGGGATCTTTAAATAAGAGGTCAAGAGTGAAGACAGGGTAAGCCAGGTGGGTGCAGTGGCTCACGCCTATAATCCCAGCACTTTGGGAGGCCAAGGCAGGCGGATCACAAGGTCAGGAGATTGAGACCACCCTGGCTAATATGGTGAAACCTCGTCTCTACTAAAAAATACAAAAAATTAACCGGGCGTGGTGGCACACGCCTGTAATCCCAGCTACTCGGGAGGCTGAGGCAAGAGAATCACTTGAACCCAGGAGGCAGTGAGCTGAGATCCGGACACTGCACTCCCACCTGGGTTGAAAAACAAGACCCCATCTCAAAAAAAAAAAAAAAAAAAAGATCGAGTAAGCCAAGAGGACTGTTGGCTTACTAAAATAAAAGAAAAGGGAGAATAAAAACGAATGTTACTAAGGTAGGAAACAGGCAAATCTATAGACCTCTGAGGAGTTGGTTTCCATAAATATGGGCCTCTTTCCCAGTAAGTTGTCACTTCCTACATGCGCTGTTTAGCTTAATAGTAGAATTTTACCATAATCGAAAGTTAAGTAGGCTTACTAAAATTCTTGCGTGTTTTGTTTTGGCAAATTCCATAGTTACTATGCCAATTCGCAGGAGTCTGACATAAATGATACATAATGCTAGAAAATTGAGTTTAAAATACACTTCTATTTTATATTCTCATTCCCATAATAGAGGAACAGAAAATTGAGTCTAATGCTGCTGTGTTACTGACACTTCAAAAAAGATTTAATTAGTTTCTCTGACAAAGCAGTAAATCTTTAAATTAAAGAGTTCAGGAGTGCTGAGCCCCATAAATTCTCTAAGGAAATTTAAATAGGAATAAATTTTAAACATATCCTTCTGGTGCTTCCCATGAGGCAGCCAGTGCTGCCCCTGGACAAATGTCAAACATAAATATACCTCAAATTTAGAAGACTCAATCACAGGCATGTAGTATTAATAAAATAACATTTCACGATGTTAAGAAATTAGAAGTCAATCTCCAAAATGCTGGAGAATGAGACAGAAAAAAATGTCAATAAATACAAAAGGTCACCTTCTTCTACAACAATAAACAACATTTCATAAGTGCTTATGAAATACTATGGCTTATTTTAAGTGTTTTACATGGACTGAGTTTTTAATTTTTTCACCAACCCTATACGATTGAGGCTATTATTCCCATTGCACAGATGAGGAAACAGGGGCATAAACAGATTGAGTAACTTCATAAGACTATACTGCTGGAGGGTATCTATAGCAAAAGCTGTGGCTGTGCCAACTACATTCCCTTGGGTGATGCATACCCAAATCTCACATCTACCAGCCAGGGCCTGTGGCAGTCTATTTTGTATTGTGCAAGGCAGACCAAAAAAATCCAGGACTAGAATCAGTACCTACCCTCTTCCAGGACCCATCAACCAAGGACTCGTGCAATTTAGTGTATAACATCCAGCTCCCTCACCCCTCAAGTAGGAAAATCAGAGGCCCATGTTCTGTATTGGCTACCAAGAGCTCCCAAATAAGATTAAACTCTAGCTATCCACAGTCATAACTCACTTGAAAATTCATCACTTATTGTCTGCCTTCCCTCTCCATTCCAACTTTCTCAGTTCCTACCACAGATTCCTAAGATCACCTTCCAAATAAACTAATCTCACTCACATCCATGTCTCAGGGTCTGTTTCTGGGAACCCAAACTAAAAGGGACCACTATTCAGGATTAGAACCCAAACAGCCTGGCTGCACAGTCTATAAGATTAATCACTACAATATACTGCCCACTCTCAAAAAGTTGACACATATTTTGTAAAAATTGTCTCAAGTCACGATAGAAGGAAAAACCATTCCCCATTTTACATCCCAACTTCCTGTCAAGAATTGTGAAGGGCCTGAGATTTTATTTTTTGCCAGCCAACAAGTTAGCCTGCCACAGAGTATGATAAAGATTGTTAGAAGACACAAGACTCGTGGGGCAGAGGCAAGAGGCTTTACTACTCACAGCAAGAGAAGTAGACAGAGCATCAGTCTTTTCACCAGTACCCCAAGGCCCAGTTCCCACAGGGCAACAGGGACAAGCCCAGATAGACAGCTGCACATACAACTGATTGTGTTATGGTAGAGAAACACTAAAGTTAGGGAACTCTAATCTTTTATACTGAATAGTAAGCATGCCTGCTGTTTGCTCCACAAAGAGACATTATCTCTGTCTTTCAAGGCTGTTCTATAAAAATCATTGAAAAAATAGTCTGTAATAAAGGAAATCAGTGCCTCACTTGCAACATGTGCAGATATGCAAGAGATCAACGGAAAATTGTCTTCCAGCACTTCCATATTCTGAAATCAAGAAAGATGTTTATAGTTTCATCATACACTAAAAACATACGATTATGCCTGATAGTAAATGGCAAAAACAAAGGGTAATTTTTTTAAAATGTTGATCACCTTGTTCTTTTCTGTCTTTGCTTTTTTGTTTTCAAAGCATAAATACATTTTGATTTGATACCCACAATAATCCTGTCAGGTTAGTATTTTATAGCTGATGGAAAACTGACTCAGAAGACAAGGTGTTTCACTGACACTCATCTAGTGAGTGATGGGGCTGAAACTTAAACTCAAGACTTCTAACTTCAAAGCTGCCAAACACTTGACTAATTGTACTGGAATCAATGGACAACTGTCTAGAACTTAAAACCTAAGAGGAGATTGAGTGGCTGTCTTCGTTTCTTCAATGCTGCCACACATCCACATCAGGATTTCAAAAATAATACTGAAGACAAATCTGGGGGAAAAGGGATAGATTGTAAGTGGAGGACAGGACACAAATGTTCTTTTTATTTTTTAATGTTCAACTCCCCTTTCCTCTGTTCATGTGTTTTTAGGGTGGTTTGTACCATGGAAATCAGAGAAAAAAAAAAAAGCCCAGGAAAGCTATGGGTTTAGAATTGAGCTGTGAAACAATTTCCAGAATTATCAGAATTACGGCATTTTCACCCAAATGGCTGCAATATATATTAAATACTTCAGAATTTCATGCCTTTTTCCCATTAGGGAAATCTGCAGAATATGAGTTCATTCAGAAGCTCAAGCTAATGTTACACTTTCAGACATACTGTTTGTAGCATTAGGGTGCCCCTGTTTACTGCATATATGATGCCTGAAAAAAAAAAAAGTATATAGATCAAATTCTAGTACGTCATATTAGAATTAAAGTGTATTATGGAAAATTTTTACTTAAAGGAATCCTATAGCGAATCCATTTCGTAAAAAACAGCTGTACTTAGCGACACACAGTGACTAATGGGAAAGCCTTCACCAAAGAGTAGAAACCCTGGGATTCTAGTGCTGCTGAACATTTGTGTCATTTGTAACAAGGGGTGGGGACATTGAATTAGATAATCTCTAAAGGTTTCCAGTTCAGTTCTGCCTTTCCTGGAGTGCAGTGGCTAACAGCATTGGCTGCAGACCCAGACAGATAAGAGTTTCTGTATCTGCTGCTTACTGGATGTGTACTCTCTGAATGTTATATAACCTTCTTACGCTTGTTTCCTAACTTGTAAAATAAGAATAATTCCCCACAGTTCAAAAGACACTTATATTAAATTAGATAACATTTATTTTTATTTATTTATTTATTTTTTTATTTGAGAAGGAGTCTCACTCTGTCGCCCAGGCTGGAGTGTAGTGGTGCAATCTCGGCTCACTGTAACCTCTACCTTCTGGGTTCACGCCGTTCTCCTGCCTCAGCCTCCTGAGCAGGTGGGATTACAGGCGCCCGCCACCACGCCCGGCTAATTTTTTGTATTTTTAGTAGAGATAGGGTTTCATCATGTTAGCCAGGATGGTCTCGATCTCCTGACCTCGTGATCCGCCCGCCTCGGCCTCCTAAAGTGCTGGGATTACAGGCATGAGCCACCGTGCCTGGCCTAAATTAAATAATATTTATTGCTTTGTGCAGTTCTTGGCACTTACTGGGCACTTGATAAATTGTAACCAAAGTCATTTTTAATTCTATGTTTTCATAATCAAGTTCACTTAATGTGAGATTTTCTATAATACAAACATTTTCTGGACTCTTTTAAATAATGTCTAACTACAAGTAATTTAATTCATGCATTCATGTTTTTCCAAACATTTTATTG